GTAAAGACAAATTCCTCCAGCTGGTCAAAAAATAAATGTGGTCGGCTCCTCCCCTCCTTAGCTTATGAAATGTACGGTGGAGGAAAAAAGTTACAGAGTTTTTTACTCTGATATATAATCACAAACTACAGGATATACCATATGCTGACTGGACACAACATCAGTACCAGTAATATCTACACAGTTCAACCACTAGTCATATTTACCTCTCACAATGTTATCCTAACATAACAATATTAATGAGCTGTAAAATGTGATAACCTTGATCTTGTGATCTTGTTGTTGTGTTGACTATTTATGGTAAAATATAGCATCCCTTTTTCATATTCCTTGCATGACTGTCTGCTGCATCCCCTTTTTAACCACCATTCATGGATGTTCCCGAGTCAAAACTCAACGCAGAGCAATGGCTCCTGTGCAGCGCACGATAAGTCACGTGATGTCCAATCCAGTAATACAGATCAATGGAGGTGATGTCGTTCGCTCTCTGTTCATTTCCTGTGGAACTTGTGCGACTGGCGAAAAACGTGCATGTGAAATTTCGCTCTCGTACACGTAGACGTGCACACGCGAGCTTATGACGCGACATATGAAAGTTGAAAAATGTTCAACTTTTGTCTCTGTCTCTTAGCGTTACAACCAATCACTGAGGGTTTCATTGACTGACCAATGACAGGAGAGTATGCTACACACTGCATTTAGCTAACACTTTAGCTCTGTCAAACTTTCCAGTTTTATACGACCCTTCACTAAAAAGGGCAGCTTTATGGGAATTTGTTAGTACCAGGGTGAAGTTTTCCCGTGTTTTTCCTCATAAAATCATATATTAGTGTGCATTTGTTTTTCAATATCATTAGCATCGCAAGATATGTTTAGTTTACACGTCCGTAATGCACACACCCCTTTTTCTGCGAACCACCAAAAACTTTTACAAGAGGCAGTAGAAGAACCAATCAAATTTCGTGAAGACCCAAGAGCGCGATTCGTAACGCTGCCATCGCTATCACGTCCCGTGTGTCGGGTTTCTGGCAGCGATGATGGCCGGTAATCGCTGTCATTTGTCACGCCGTACACCACAAACAGACATCCACATTTGGCTAACTTCACCGTGGTTCGTCTCCTCACCTTGGAGTAGACGCCCCACGACAGCTCCGTCTCAATGACCATGACGACAATGCCAAACATTCCAAAGATGAGGGCGTAGTCGCTCAGCCTCTTCCTCTTCTCGAACAGCGCCCTGCGGTGCCCCAGCTTGTAGCCGATGTTTTGGTTCTTTCGTTTGGGAGCTTTGGAGGTGCTGCCCCTGGCCCCGGTGCCCACCGTCCCGGCCCCGCTCTGCCTGCTGTCCCGGTCCGTTTGTGTCCGCCTGCTCTCCACCAGCGCGTGGTTCTGGTGGTAGATGGACATTTGGTTGGACGTTGAGTCTGAGATGTCATACCCTCGCCTGGGGTACGGAGAGTCATCTTTGGAGGAGATCACAATCTCTGGGGGGCTCTGAATTGGTGGTTGGTTAGAAGAGGGCTGGGTCATTGAGCAGGTAGACGGGGCGTCCCGGGGTCTGTCGTGTCCGCTGGCGGCTGTTACCCCTGCGACAGCTGAAACGCCACCTTCTTTGGTTTCACTGCTGCTGTCGGACTCGATGAGGTTCCTCCGGGAGGCGCTGAGGCGGCTCAGAGGCTTCATGACCCCGCCCGTGTACTTGCAGGAGCTCATGGCGATCTCAGTGAAGGGGTTGCTGTCTCTGCGGTGGACCAGGGGGCTGGCCTGTCGGTGCTTACTGCCCCGCTCTCGCTCTACCCTCTCCCTCTCACGCTCCCGGTCTCTCTCCCGGTCCATGGAGGGCGAGTGGGAGGAGTAAAAGAGGGCGTTGTAGACCGGCGAGTTGTCCCCGCTCAGGCTGTGCTGGGAGCCCAGGCAGGACGAGAGCGGGGTGCTGGTCGGGTGCAGGGCGTTGGGGATGGGCGGGGGCAGGGGCTGGGCTCCGGAGGACGACAGAGGCAACTTGGGGAGCGCCGGCGGAGGCAGGTTGGGCGTGGCGGAGGAGGACGGCGACGGGGTGCTGCCATTCAAACGGTCCAAGCTGGAACCTCCCGTGTGGTTGGAGTGGTTCAATCCCGGCTGGTTGCCTGCCGTGGAAGAATGGGATATGCTGCCCAGGGGCAGGAGGAAACGCTGGTCCTCATCCTCGCTCCCTCCGAGCAGAGCCAAGCTCAGAGAAGGGGGCGGCTCCATGGTCAGAGCTGTGGCCACGCACCTGTCTACAGTTTAAAAACACACACAGGACAACAGTCAGAAGTGGTATAAAAAACAAAGAACAGACTTTTCTTAGCATTATGTGAAAGAAAAGCTCGTGGATAAACAAACGAGGGGACTAAAAGCCTGAGGATGAGTGACAACCAGGGGCAACTGAGTGCAGAGAAGCTGCCTCATTGGCAGGATCATGTTATTCCTTGAGTCACATCTGAGTCAGCTCCTCAGTCAGCTCCTCTGCCTCTTCACAGAAAATCTCATCCATGAAATGTCATCTACGGTTTTGTTTTTCCTAAAGAGTGAAAATCCTCTGGCTCAGTGGGAATGAGCTCAGGCTGAGGGAAGACTGGAGGATAATCATTGTCATCATCTCCCAGCCTCTTTGTTAACCATAAGTTGGCTGCTGTCACCGAGTGATCCGGGGGAATAACCTACTTTCTCTGTCAGCATGAAATAAGCATCAGACACCTTCAACCCCCCCATCTGTTCCTACCTCCGACCTCTTCTCTGTCGGTCCTTGTCCCCCAGGTTAGTGGTGGAGAATCACAGGCTGCTCCACAAACAGACCGCCGCACTTTTTCTTTTTCATGTTGTCACAGCACATCCCATCATCTGGTTTGTTGTCCTTTTATTGTTATTTATAATTATTTATTTATTGTTCAGGTCCTCCACAGGTCCGCGCCTCGCTACAGATGTTGCGTGTGCGCGCTCAGAAATGTTCCGTTTGGTTCCTCCTCCTCTCAGTCGTCGCTGATGTACCGACTGAGCCCCATTTCCGATCCGGTTCGGAGACAATCGGCGCGGGATGAGGAGGAATAATCCATACTGAGCGGATTAAATCAGCCAACCTGTGGCCGCGCGTCAATAAAATAAAAATCAAATACAAAAGTGCACGAGAGGAAACGAAGCAGGCTGGTGTGGATGGAGTCTGGAGATGATTTAATCTGTGACTGGAGCCTGCAGCTCTCTCCAACTTCTCTGCCTCCTTTTCTCCGCCTCCAGAACCTGCAGCTGCTCCTGATTGGACCGCATCACAGAACAGGTGGCTGCGTTTCTGCGAGACGACATGTTTCATTCCTCAGACCCCCCCGGGTTATTTCTGGGTTATTATTTTTACTGTAACCTCAGATAACATGATCCGTGTGGATTTCTGCTGCTGCTGCTGAGAAGAAGGCAGAAGCGTTTAGAGCACCTGTCCAAACAGCAAATGTATGGAGTCAAATTTGTGCCATAATTAAGGTTGGGGG